ATATATATATATATATATATATATATATATATATATATATATATATATATATAGTCACGGGATGTAAAGTACAGCATAGGGAATATACTCAGTGGAATTGTAATAGCTAGGTGTGGTGTCAGACTTGGGTTGTGGACTTGTTGAGGTTATCATTTTGTGAGGTGTATAAACGTCTAATTACTAGGCTGTTTTGTATACCTGAAACTAATAATAAAAAAATAATAAAAAAAATTGTTTTATTGGCCAGAACGGAGGGCAAAATATCATTCACGTTTGTTAGGTTAAATGTGCATATTAATGTATATAGTAATCACTAAAATAATAGAAATTGATTACAGAAATGCCAAACCAACATACGGAAAAAACTAAAATAAATAGAGGGAAAATCACCCTTAAAAGGCATGAAACTAGCAGTTGAAAGTCCTGGCCAATACAATAACATAAGAAGAAGAAATTAGAAGCATAATTATTAGAAAGGCAGAAATAAAACTGTCATTATTTGAAATAATCTGATTCACCATAGGGAAAATAATGAATTCATAGAAAACCACTGAAAAATAATAAGAGAGTTTAGCAAGGTGGCTGGATGTTATGATCAGCATACAAAAATCAATTGTGATTCTATATACCAATAACAAACAATTAGGAATACATTTTTAAAAGATACCTTTTATAGAGAAAAAAATACCTAAGATTAAATGTAATAAAATATGTATAAGACCTACATATAAATTGTAAAACTTTACTGAAGGACCTTAAGGATGACAAACCATTCCATGTTCTTGCATAGATAATAATAATTGTGTATATATATATATATATATATATATATATATATATATATATGTGTGTGTGTGTGTACACTTTTTATAAAATTCAAAACAATTAAAACTGAATAATGCAATAATTATATAAAGTGTTATAACACATAATTTTAAAACCTAGAAAAAGGCAAATACAAAATTCAGGATACTGCTTATTTATAAAGGAAAGGTAGGAGATGGCATGGGGTAATACATAACTAACTATTGTATTATTAGTGTTTTAGTTTTTGAGTTGTGTGGTGGGTTAATGAATGATTATCATATTTATAAATAAACAGAAAATATTTTAAGAGTCTTAAAATGTGTCTTCTTTTTATTTTATTTTATTGGGGAACAGTGTGTTTTTCCAGGACCCAGCAGCTCCAAGTCGAGTAGTTGTTTCAGTCTAGTTGTGGAGGGTGTGGAGATCGAACCGGCAACCTTGGTGTTATGAGCACTGTGCTCTAACCAACTGAGCTAACCGGCCACCCCTTAAAATGTGTTTTGAAATTCATTAGTTTGCTGTTTGACAAAAAACATAACTACAACAAATATGAAATTCAGACATTATCAACTAAATATGAGAAAATTTATCAGATTAATTCAAATAAAAACGAAGCACAAGTTGGAATATTAATGCCAGTCCATAAAATATTTAAGGTAAATGCATTACATTAACTAATGACTGTGCGTGTATATACATATATTACATATATATATATATATATATATATATATATATATATACACACAGTAAAAGGTAGATTTGATAGAGAAGAAATAATAGTAATGAATCTTTATGACACCGCATCAAAATATGCAGCCAGACTTCTGGAAAAAGATGGTGGAGAGTATGACTTGATCACAACTGCCTTTATTTATTTATTTTTTTTACAACTGCCTTTAACTCATATCTAATGAAGTGAACAAAATCCATTTAAAAACAGTGGGGGAGGAGAGTATTGTAATTATCATTAACGGTTCCCCAAGAAAGGAAATAGGTCCAATTTAATAAGTTAACTCCAGAGCGTGACGGCCAGAGTGGGGCAGGGAGAATGATTTGTGCCCACAGAGTACAGGATGGTGGAACTCCTGATGTCATTTTCAAATCCTGAGCTCTCAAATCTGAAAGAGGATACAACCAAATATGTCTCCTTATCTTTTTCTTCTTCTGATTAGATGGTGATGAAAATGGCCTCTGGGCAGAGACCAATAAAGGAAGAAATGTCAATAGTGACAGAAGTCAAGTTTTCCAGGCTCCAAACAGAATTGGCAGAACACCTCAAAGCCCATAAGGACATTCCCCTTAGAATGGGGAATGCCCTGGACGGGGCTGAGGCAAACATAGCAAACTCTATATATATAAGCTCCTTTCTTAACCTTAGAGTGCTCTTTCAGGAAACATTTGTTATCATGAGGAAAAATTGGTCTTGAGTTCGTCAATTCTCTTCATTCACCTGAGAGTTTGGGGGATTTTGTTGGTTTCTTTGATAAATTTGTTTTTGTTGTTGTTACAAATTCTGTTAATCAAAATTCAATTGTGCTGAGTGTTAAGAAAAAGCATTTTCAGTATGATTCTAATTTTATAAAAGTATTTCTGTCTATCTAACCATATAATATTAATAGTGATTATTGATGGGTGGTAAGGTGAGATAATTTATTGCTGTTTTTGTACTTTTCTGCATTGCTTAGATTCTTTAAAAGCAGCATGTATCAAACACAATTCAGCTGTGTATATAGAGAGAAACAGAGCTAGAGAATAATAACACTAATAGTTTACACACTGCTTATTGTTTATCAGGCACTGTTTGAAACCCTTCACACGAATTAGGTTGAATCATATGAAATTGCCAATATTTGGCTGTTCTTTTTTTTTTTTTTTTTTAGCTGAGCCATCCTGCCACCTGTTGGCAGCTCAGCTCGGGCTAGGACTCGAACCACTGTTGCTCAGAGCTCACACTCTTGAGGGAGCTCTTAACCAACTGAGCCACTTGGCCGGCCCTTTGGCTGTTCTTGACCGACAAAACAGCATTTCATGTGGTCCAATTTACACTTACTCCTTGAACAATCCTAAGATGAAGATGGAGAACCAAAGCTGCTAGAAATGCAAAGAGAAATGAAGGCCATCCTTCCCCTTGGAGCCTGCACACCTCTCCCAGCCCCGTCCTCTGGCCTGGCCCTCACATCCTTCCTCCACAGGTCAAGCTGCACACATAGGCAGAGGGGTAGTTCTCTGTCCCAAGATGCCTTACGAGGTGGCATCTGCCATCAGTCTAAGCGCTGAAGGTAGGACATGTGTTCTTGCTCTAACTCAGTTTATCCTCTGGATGGAGCCACTTCGAGTTTCTAGAAGGTACAGGTTCTTCAGAACTTCAGGTTCTGTCCAAGAGCCCTCCACTTACAATTCCCAGTGGAGTCCCCATGTAATCCACCAGGGCACCAAAGCAGGGCACATTCGACAGTTTCATGTTTATTTTCAGAAAGTGATGAAGACAAAAGAAGTATATCCAGACACCATTCTCTGTACAATAAATAGTCACCCTGTTCCAAAAAACTTAAAAAAAAAAAAAAAAGAAAAGCCAGAAGCAGCACCAGGTAAATGACTGTAGTTAGGGCATAGGTAGAGGAGGGGACACTCCTCTCAGGTTTCGCTGTTGGCCAGGAAGCAGCCAGTGACCCCAGAATCCCTTTCCCAACCAACTACAAAGGACAGAGGGAGCTGGGGACTGCTCAGTCCTGAGTCTGTTGTCTAGGTTAGCTGGTGTCCTCCAACCTAATAATACTGTCTCTGTTCCTTTCACGGTGTCATCTACTCAATTGGGAAAATAGTTATAAAACTGGCCTTCAGTTTCCTTATCAAAAGGAGAAGGGGCTCCAGCAGGGGAGGAGCTGTCGCCACTGGAAGGATAAGGGGACACACGCCTCCTCTTAGAGTCTCCTTCGCCCAGTCCTGAGTCACTGGACTCTGGTCGGATGGGGGTGATCTCAGTCCACATTGAAGGGGAGCCCTGGTCTTCTGGTCCCCGCCCTTCTGAAGCGCCAGGGCCAGGTTCCATGGGCAGAGTCCGCATGGGGCGGAACCAGCTGGCCGGGCCCATCTTGGGAGGGTACTGGGGGGCCACAGGCCAGCCAGTTCCAGGCGCCAGGACCTCCTGGCCTCGGTAGTAGGACATGGTGGGCCCAGGGGCTGAGGGCAGGAATGCAGGCTTCATGCTGACTGCTCGAAACTCGGCCTCGTAGCTGTGGTCCCGGGGTGCTCCCAGCCAATAAGGCTGGGGAACCACATCCTTGGCCTGGCCAGGAAGGTCGGGGTAGAAACGGCTGGGAACAGGATACTGGTTGGGTAGGAGAGAAGAGTAGTGGTCTCCCCCAAGCAATTGACAGTTGGGTCCAGGTGGGGAGGGGACACTGGTGTCAACAGATGCATATAGGCTAAAAAATATAGGAGGTAGGAAGACAGGGGTCAGGAGCAGAGCCAGTCACCTATGAGCCCACCTGTTGCACAACCCTCCCCGACCGTCCTTCCCTGGCCCTCCCGCCCTCCAGCACCCACCCCACCCTCTCTCATCCTCAGGGGCAGAGAGGGAAAAGTGCTGAGCATATGTCTGGAGTCCCAGTCTCAGGGGGAACCACAAGGAGGCCTCTGCAAAGGTGAGTTAAAACCCAGTGGAACTTACGATTCAAAGTTCTCCCGGAATCCTTTGGCAAAAGGGTTATTATCAATTTTCAGCTGAGTGATCTAGAGAGAAGGGAAACAGCGTGGCCTGAGTCCTGAATCTGAGGCTAGAAAACCTCCCAAATCCCTCCCAAGGGAAACGGGGCGGGGGGGGGGGGGCGGCACTCTCCCAGTCCTCCTCCCCCTCCCAGGCTCAGGCCCAGGGGCTGAGTTCCCAGGGGCAGCTCCCACCTCGGCATTCTGGTAGGCGGTCACAGCAATAAACTGGGTTTCTTGGAAAGTAAAGATATGCGTGTTGGAAGCATTGCAGGCTGCCTCTGGCTTTCCGTCATTCACCTCAACGATGTGCAGCCGGGGCTGGTACTTATGGAGGGACTGGAGCACAATCATCTGAGAGAGACAGCAAGAAGGTTTTGGGGGTGGGGTTGAAGGATCTCCCCACCCTGAGGTCAGCATGTCCATTCCCTTGCCCTGCCATCATGTAACTTCTCCCAGGCCTTCCAACTTCAGTCCCCAGCCCCTTTGGGGCCCCAATTCTACCCTCCTGTCCCATTTCCTATCCCCAGATGTCTACTGTGCCCAAGGTATTAGCACAAACAGGGCTTTTTAGAGCACCCATTCCCTGGAACCACTGGGTTCTGACTCTATGCCCAGCATGGGACATGAGTGATGGCAGCCGGTGGTTCAGTGGGGAACCCCCCACACTGGCTTGGCCTGTGTCTGCCGGAATGTGATGCCCTGTCTGCCCTGAGATTCAGCTTCCTCCCACGTCATATTCCTCCCAAGGTGGGTGGAAAAAAACAGAGTTAGAAAGGAAGAAAAGTAACTCCTACAGAACAGAATCAGCCTGCAGGACCCTCCTCTGTCCTCGGGACCAGGTTCAGGGAGTGGAGGCGGGGCTAGCGCATAGGGAGGAGTCCCACCTGAGTCGCATTGTTGGAGGCCCCCTTGTTATTCGTGAGCTTTAGTTTTCCAAATGAAACTTCCTGGCGCATCCAGTGGGCTCCAGTGTTGGGGGAATCTGGGTGGACGTACAGGCGATTTCCTGTGAACAGTGAACCTCTTTGGCATGCAGCCCTTCAGGACCAGGAACCCCGTGATGTGGGGCTTCTTTGTTCTGAGGGGGATGCCAAAAAGGATGCAGGGGGACCAGACAGGGCAGGACGAGGGGAGGTGTGGGCAGAGGACAGAGCAGAAGACAGGCCAGAGCAAAAAAGAGGTGACAAACTGCACAGAAAAGAGAAGTGGGATAGGACAGAGGGGTGGGATGGGGACTTAAATCCTCGGTATCCAGGGCAGGGGCTTAGGGGTTCCTCCTGGATCCACCAGGGGGCGCCCAGTCTTGGAGAAAAAGAGGACCAACAGCTCCCAAGGAGGCGCATACCTGGCATGCTGCCCTCGGCTTTTCCACACTGTACCCACTTGCCGCTTTGATACCGCCAGTGGTGCTGGTCCACCAAGACCACGTCCACAAACATCCGGTAATGGCTGGCGGGCTCCAGCCCAGCCACAGTAAATGACAAGAATGGGAACATCCGCCTGGGGAGAACAGAGAAACCCACCAATATCCATCAGCCCCCAATCCCTCCGACAGTGACCCCTTGTGCAAAGGTCACGTGGTGTGCTGGAGCCGGCCTCCACCCCTCGGGAGAGCTGGCTGGAAATGTTCAGGAAGTTTGCCAGCCAGTTGTTAAACAGCCATAATTAAAAATTAAATTATGTAAACTTACAATAAAATACATCATATTATAAACCAAGGCAATAAATACTCGAACATCACGTCCCAATTCTTTGACTACATTTTCTTGCTATCTCGGGTCTTGAGGTTATTTACGTCTATTGTACCTGTGTGTGGAAATACTAGATGGTGTGCACTACTGCATGACTCTTCCCAACTCTGCGTTCAGTGATATCACGTGGGTAGCTTGAAATCAGCCATCATAGGAGTATTTATACCATGGAAATCAGCAAACATTACAATCAGGGCTTTTTAAAATGCTTTTCGGGCCGGCCGAGTGGCGCGATGGTTAAGAACTCGCTTGGGATGCCAGAGGGCCCCGGTTCGGATCCCACATATGAGGGCCAGTGACACTGCCCTCCACAGCTAGGATGCTGAACGGCAGCTCGACCTGGAGCTGGGCTGCCATGAGTCGCCGGCGACGGCATGGGCTGCAGTCCCTGTGGCAGTGGATTGCCATGGGCTGCCGTGTGTGGCCAGCAGCCGGCGTGAGCGGCCAGCAGCCGCAGTGAGCGGCCGCCCAGAAGCCGGCGACTGATCTGCCTCACCCGGGAAGAGCACAATGATGGTGCCAACTTGGGCCAGTGAAGCAACATCCTCCACAACTAGATTGAAGAACAAAACGACAGCAACTTGTCTGTTCCCCTTTCCCCAATTCCCCAGCACTGTTCCCATCCCCCCAATTCCCCAATAAAAAAAAAATCTTTAAAAAAATAAAAAAAATAAAAAAAATAAAATAAAATGCTTTTCTTTCAGAGGGTCAGTTGCTAGACATTAGCTGCACACCATTGTATCTAATCTTAGTGTGCTTTCTAGCGGGGAGCAAAGCCACAGGCCAGTCCCCCCCAGGCAGAACCTAGTAGGTCCTCATGCCTCAGTCCCCCAGGCCCTGGTCCAACTTGAGTCTGCCATTCACCCTCTCCACTGTGGCTCTCACAATGCTAACACACTCCTAGCCCCAAGGCACCCATCCAGAGGGTCTCCCTGTCCCATCCGCCTGAGCCTGATATCTGTACTATGGCCTTCAGAGAAGTAGCTAATGTCTTAGGTGGAACTTCCCATCCACCTGAAACTCTATCAAGTACAGTCCTCATGCTCAAAGTCCTGGTTTCCAGGGAAAGTGGAGGACGTTGGGGTTGGGATATTGCAGTATTGTGCCAATTCAGAGAAAGAAGCCCTCCAATACCACAACCATCTCCACCACCTCCATCATCACCACCTCCATCACCACCATCCCTACAACCGTCACCTCCACTATCCCTACAACCACCACTGCCACCCCATCACCACCATCACTACAACTACCACCTCCATTGTCACCACCATCATCACCACAACCATCATTTCCATGTCACCTTCACTACAGTTATCCCCTCTACCATCACTACAACCAGCATCTCCCCCATCACCACCATCATGACAACTATCACCAGTCCAATCACCAGCATCACTACAACCACCACCTCTACCCACACCAATTCCATCACTATCTCCAATGGGATAGCCTTCCTCTTCTAACCGAAGCAGGAAGAGCAGAGTTTTCAGAATGGCAGAGTCAACCCTCATCAGAATTACTTTTCATTTCCATACACTTTTCCCTATCTCCCATGAGAAGTCCCGTAGGATGGGAAGAACAGGCACTAACTAGTCCACGAGTCATGAAACCTGAGGGAGGGAGAGTTCCAGGGGCCTAAGAACACTATTGGGTGGATCCTAGTCCCCAGAAAGTCCCAGAGAAACACCCTTAATAACCTTGGGGATGTCTCCCAGGAAGGTGCTATCACATTCCTGTCTTCCCCAGATTCTGCTGGGCTGAGAACAAGAGACTTACCGGCTCTATGACCTTGGATAAATTTGCCAAACCAAACCTCAGTTTCTTCACCCGTAAATGGAGATAATAACTCTTGTCCATCTTTCCTCTGACAGCTGTTAAGAAGTGCGAAAGACGTGAAACTCTGCTTACCCTTTCTCTTGTCCCACCCTTATCCCACCTAGGCTAGACTGAAGGACCCTGAGCAAGAAACCAGTGTTCCAGTTCCAGGCCCTGGGCCACAGGGGCTTGGCAGGCCAGTTGACTTGAGAAATCGAAGTTTAAAAATGACGCCTTGAGCAATCGAGGGTAGGAGAATATTTTCAACCCATTCCTACCACCAACGCATTCTATGACAGTGGTCTGGTTACTCACATGTTTCCTATATTGTCACCAGTTCCCCTCCAAACTAGTAGGAACCAAGGAAGACAGGGGAACATGTTCCTTGAGTGTTTATGTAGCAGCCCGTTCATTAAACCAGTCCTTTGACGTATAAAATGTTATTTTCAATTTTACACTTGAAGAAAACGAGACTTGGAGAGGTTTGGTGACAGCTCCTCGGTGGAAGAGTAGAGCCTGAGTCTCATGACCGCAGAGCACAGGCTGTGGTCTCCGTCCCTCCATCTTGCTTATCACTAGTAGAGGGAAATGGAGGACATACAGGAAGAGGATGGACAAAAGGGAGAGGAGAAGAGAGGTCTCAATTTCACCCTAAAAGTCTAGAATCACCACCAGCTGGAATCTCAAAATAGCCCCTGATTTACATGACACTTTGCTGGGAAGAAACAGAGAGTGAAGATGGGGCTGGTGCCAAACTGAGCACCCCCCCCAAAAAAAAGACCACTGACCATTCTGCTCTCAGAGGACAGCGTCCAAGACTCCAAATTCCTCTGCTGCCCCTAAGGACCATCCAATCTTGAAATAATTTTGCAGGGTCATCATATCCCTCCCTTAAACTGAACACCTCTGACATGCTCCAATTCACCACCAATTAAGTACAAATTGAAAGGAGAGAATTTTTGCCAGTCATGTTGGCAAAATGTTTCGAAATTTGTAATATCTAAGGCTGATGAGTCTGTGGGTCCTCTGGGAGCCTGTGGGAAAATGGATCCTCTTGTACAAGACCAGTGGGTGTGTAAATTGGTACCACCTTTTAGGAGGGTTCTCCCGCCATGCCTTGCACCTACCAAAATGCAAAATGCACTGGGCCATCAAAGGGGTCTCCTACCCCCACCAACCTTAGACCCACTTAATAGAAATCAGAAGGCCAACTAGCAAACAGCCAAACTGAAAGCAAAGCTGTTTTCACCTGCTCCAAGAGAAATGAAGCCAGTCAGCCCAAATTAAAGCAGCCTTAAAGCTAAACATGTTTTTGAAAGATCTACAAAGTTCTTGGAGTTGGGCATGTAGAGAAGGGAAAACCACGATGGCTGTGAGGCCAGTGATAGAGGATCGTGAGGGACTGAAATTGTTTTATCAACTCCTAACTTCACATATACATACACAAATGCAAACTGAGCTGCTTAACAACAGACCTACCCCAAGTTATCTTAATTATAATAATCAACTAATCACACCCAGAAAAGTGGGGATTGCCAGCAATTAATGCACACCCACACACCCACAAACACCAGCCTCTCTCTTCCTCTACTGAGAATGTCTACCGTCAACTATTATACGCTTGCCAACACATTCATAACACACATACGGTGCTGTACAGAAACGTAACACAAGTCCAGGGTAGGCACTATCGGGCACCACTAATCTCCACAAACACACAAACTTGAACATCAAAGTCTCCAGTTAGCCAGTCCATCACTTTGTCCTCAGTTTCCCCTCCTAGCTCCATCTGAACCTCCTGGATCAGTCTCTGGACCCACCTGCTCCCCACCCCATTGCTACCCATGGAGGAGAGCGTGACTGTGTTGCTTGTCCATACTGAGGGATGGGTCTAGAGTGAGTGGGAGAGGAAGGATCTGGGAGCAAGTGAGTCAGCCCAAGGGTAAATGCTGTGGGGCTGTGGGTGGGCCTGGGCTGGAAGGATTTTTCAAAAAGGAAGACGGCCGTGGGTGATGTGGTGGTGACTGACAGGTCACTGGAACCACAGCGGGTCAGGCCAGCCCGCCAAAGCAGGAGGACAGAAAGAGAGCTGTTCTCTGAGCCCAAGTCTTGCTTCTCAGAAGCCAGAAATGGAATAAAATGGCCGCCAACTTCCCAGATCACTAGAGCCCAAACTCAGATATGGGGTGATTCAGGGCTGATGGGGCTAAATTGGGGGTTGTGTGTTCTCTGTCCCGTCTACTCCACCATGGGGCCCCTGAGGCCAGATCCAAGGGGAGGCATCAAAGAAAATGGTGAGGGGCCACTGCCCCCTTCCAACAGGGAGCCTGTAGTATCTGAAGCAGTCCCTCAGGATAGATCAAAAGCATAAGGATTATAACACACACACACACACACACACACACACACACACACACACTTATGAAACAGTCAGGGAAATCTGACGATATTTAGAAATTTTTTTCAGGTTTGCAAATGGTATTGTGTTTATTTTTAAAATAGAGAAATATGTAAGGATAAAATAATATCATGTCTAGGATTTACTTACTAATTCTTTTTTTTAATATAGATTTTATTGGAGAACAGTGTGTTTTTCCAGGACCCATCAGCTCCAAATTAAATAGTTGTCTTCAATCTAGTTGTGGAGGACGCAGCTCACTGGCCCATGTGGGAATTGAACCGGCAACCTTGGTGTTATGAGCACTGCACTCTAACCAACTGAGCCAACTGGCCGCCCTACTTACTAATTCTTTATACTATCACTAATATGGTTGCAGACTAGAGAGGTGGAAGTGAAATGAGTGAGGATAAAGAAGAAACAAGATTGGACGGGTGTTGACAACTGTTGAAGCTGGGTATAGGTAGATGAAGGGCTGTTATTATTATTTTTTTCACTTTTTGAACAGCATGGGAGTTAGGAGCACTGACCCTCTCTGCACTGAAAAATCCATGTGTGACTTTTGACCCCCCCCCAAAAGTTAACTACTAATTGCCTTCTATTGACCAGAAGCCTTATCGACAACACAAAGTCTATTAACACATATTTTGCATGTTATATGTATTATGTACTGTATTCTTACAATAAAGTAAGATAGATATAAGAAAATGTTAAGAAAATCATAAGGAAAATACATTTACAGTATTTATTGAAAAAAATAGGTACATAAGTGGATCCGCACAGTTCAAACCGGCATTATTCAAGGGTCAACTATATTGGAGTTTTTTATAATAAAAGAAAGTAAGTGTATGGATCCAAAAAAGGGACAAAACTTGTCAAGAGAAAATTATTCAGCAGGAACATAAAGGAAAGAAGGAGGCTGTAGGAGTAGATAGAGATGGGGACCTACATCCAGAGACGCATCCCCTGAGATACCTCCCTAAACAGCCTGTGGGCAGACCCACAGCTGGCCCAGCTCCCACCAGGTCCCTAAAATTCTGGCTGATGTCCTGTCCACCCCATCCCTCAAGACTAAAAGGGCCGGGGCCTGGCCGCAGGCTGCGGGGAGACTCCGGCCAGCCCCCAGGGAGGAAGGCTTCCTGATCACAAGACAGGGTGGAGGCTCAAGTTCAGGTCTCTGTGTGACCAAATGTAGAGCCACTAGCTATCCCTGCGCCTCAGTGCTCTCAGCTGTAAAAAGGGGAGACTGCTTGGCCTACCTAGCGCACAATGAAATAATGGAAGTGAAAGCACTCTGAATGCATCAAGGCCTTCGGACAGTGTGGGTGGCTGTTTTTACAACTTGGTCATGGGAGGCCGGAGAAAGAAAGTGAGGCAGATACCATCTGGGTTCTGGTGCTAGTTCTGCCAGTGATGGATGTTCTGTGTAACCTCAGAAGAGTCTCTTACTGTCTCTGGGCCCGTTTCCCTGTCTGTGTAGGAAGGGGATTGGACAGGGTCGTCAGGGTCTCCTCCGATTCAGACCCAATGGCACTAGAAGCCTGGGCTGTGCCTGGGTGTACCCAGAAGGGCTAGGGTTGGGGTGGGGGCAGAGAGGAATTATCAGAAGGCTTAGGAGATGAAAGTTGTGCCACAGAAGGTCGTGCCAAATTTCCTGGGTCCAAGTTCAGCAACTTGAAGCCAGTTGTGGTTGGTGGACAAGTCCCTCAATCCTAGGCCACTCCACAGAAATCACCAAGAGGGAAGAATGTTCCAGCAATATCCAGATTGAATGCCAACCCCCCAGGCCCAGTATGGCCTCTCCCCTTTTTCTCCCCAAGCCCCATACTTGGTATACGCTCTTCAACACTTCCCTGGTCCACTGATGACACAGCCCCTCCATACACAGGTCCTTGCTGGTCACCTGCCCATATTGGGCCCCTACTGGGAAGGGTGGGTGCACACTCACACTCACACTCCAGACACAAGTGGGGCCTGCTCAGAGTGTTGCTTACTAAACAAATACCACACAAGTTACAGGTTTCTCTTTCTTTCCCTACGCAGGAGGTTCTGTCCGGAAGCAGCACTCTTGGCCCCAAACCCTGCCCCACATGTACTGAGCCCAGGGGACCCTGAGCAGTGGTACCATGGGCTCTCCAGGCTGGACCAGTGAATATCTGGACGGGTGTGGACAGCCTTTCAGGGGACAGGCCTCAAAGTGCGAAGAGTGTGGGACTGGATGCTAGTTGAGACTCACAGTCAGCTTCACCTGCTCAGACCCATAGGCATTTGTAACTCTCCCACAGGAGCCTGAGCTTGGAAGGGGATATGTGCCCCCCACACACTTCACCACACCCCAACACACACACACACACACACACACACACACACACACGACATATGATCTCAAAGTACTACCGGAAAGGAAACTTGGCGACTGTGTCTCCATGTCACCAAATCCCAGTCTTACCACCCCTCCCAAAGCTGACCTGTGAACAACAGCAGCAAAGGGACTGGGAGAGGTGGGTACCATGGGGCTCCAAAGACAAGGGCTGAGTTAGTGTCCCCCCACATGCAACACTCTGCCCTCCTCTCCATTTCCCCCCCACACACACAGGCTAAAAGGCGTCCTGCCCTGTCGGGCCGGCAACATTCACTCCCCCTCTGTCCACTGTGAACCCCACTCAGGCAGAGAGCAGGGAGCACGCCTATTTTGGACGAACCCATAGACACCCGTTTCCCTAAATCAAGATAGCTTTTCATTGCGCCCACTCTGATCCATCTCCCTTTTGAGTTCTACCTGTTGGTGTAATCTCCCGGGAGTAAACAGCCCCCAGAACTTTCCTGTCCTCACTACCAGCTCCTCTCCCTCCCCCCAAAGCCTAAACCAAAACAGTGAGGGACACAGACACACTAGCAACGTCTAGACAGAAAAGAGAGAGAGAGAGAGAGAGCACCCGTCCGAGTTCCGGGCCGGCGGGCCGGCGGGCCGGCGCTGCAGCGTGCGTCTCACTCACCGTCCCTGCTTGGTGATGATCATCTCCGTCTGGTGCTGATTGAACTTGGACCACAACAGGTGGTTGTTGAGCGCGACTCTCAGCTTCCCGGACACCTCCAGCCCGGCTGGCGGTGCATAGTCCTCACGCGGGTAGAGCCCGGCGCGCGGGTCCGGGGCCGCATAGCCGTCCCCAGGCTGGTAGCCCTCGGCGCCCGGCGTCGGCGGGAAGGGCTCACCCGGCCCGGGAAAGCCGGCGGCCTGGGGCCGGGGCGGGTAGGCGTAGGCTCCGAGGAATCGGCCAGGCGGGGCGGGCACTAGGGCACCCCCGGCATACGGCGCCCCCAGATTGGCGCTCCCGCGACGCTCGGCCGCGTCCTGCGCTCCCGGCTCCGGGTAGAAGTAGCGGTTCTGCGGGTCGGCGCCAGGCGCCCGGCCCTCGTCGTTCGCCGGCATCGGCTCGGTGCCCGTCAGCATGTCTCCGCAGCCCGGCTCCACGATGCCCATCCGGGGCGGGCGGGCACCTTCCCCCAGCCGTCGAGGACCAGCCCCCTTCGCGCGGGGGGCGGCCCAGAGGGTCCGGGGCTGCGGGGGC